GCTGCTCTCAGTTTTTTCTGACATTTCACTCCACCAGGATAATTACATACTAAATTCTGGGTTTGTCCGTCATCATATTCACCATTACATGCTTTACCGTTCAGGAGAAACTTGATAGTTCCATCTTGACACGTTCCCGTTCCCACCTGTCTTTGTGCAAAGTACAATTCAATTGTGTGTGAAGTTTGTTCGAATATATATGGACCACGCTCGTCACATAGAGTGTCTTTTGAGCAATTGCATTTCTCAAATTGATGGAGACTTGTTATATCAATACAACAAACTGTTGAAATTTCCAAAACACAAATCAATAAAGTAATAACAGAGCAACCGTACATCGCGACGATCTGGAAATGAAACAACAGAAAAACAAGCGTTACAAAATACAGCCACACGTATATAAAGCTGTTTTGTTATATGAATTGCTGAAGACTGTCAGCCTCCTGAGCAGAAAATCTTCTGAGATGTACAAGCTTAGGCGTTTTGCTCGAAAAACATTTTTCTCATCAAGTGCATCGTAGAGCTTATATTCTCTTTATGAGCTAGAACTGTCAACTTACTATGGTTAATATTAAAAAATGAAATATTCTGTTTGAAAAGTAGAACTTTACTCAGTATTTCGAATCACCTTTTTTGCTACTAAAAGTCAGAAGCGATCAATGATACTTGTATTTTTGAATATCAATATTATATTTTTGATGATATTTGATATGCAACCGAATTTTCTATATATTTCAATATATTTATTGATGCAATTGCAAACATAAATCTTTTGATCCTCTTGTGGGCAAGAAAACAATTTTGGCTGACAACTTTGTGTTTCTACCTGTATAAATCCGATTATAAGTCATTAAGGCAGAATTTTAAAATGATATTTTCTTTTACTGTTTCAGTGACATCATTGTAGGCAGATTCTATGTTTTTCTTTCAGTGACATGTTTACTTCAAAATATTGCTCACACTTCTTGAGATAAATTACATGAAAAAAGAGTACAATGGAAAAAGTTTGAATTGATGAACGTTCAGTTTAAAAGTGGCTCACATCGGTATGTCATGGGCATAATTATTAACGGCAAGCCTGTGGAGACATATGTCTTGAAAACAATTGCAAACTGATAGAATTTTATCGTTAGCAAGTCAGTCATACAAGTCAGTCATGATGAGTTTATTCATCATACAGTATAGAGTTTGACTATTCGAAGCGTTATCAATAAGATAATTGTACTTTCGCGGACACCAACAGCACATCAAAATTGTGGTAATTTAGTATTTTTTCCTTTGTCGTTGCAGTGTTACTATTTGCGAATTGTTACACTGCTCGAGCAACTGATTCGGACATTACGTGCGGCATCTCATTTACTATACTTTATCCATGGAAAAGAGTGGTTAAAAGTTCTATTTTTCTCTCTTGTCTTCATTTTCACCTATCAGCAGATGCCGCGCTTATGCTACTTTCGTCCTCATTTAGGTAGTCGTTTGCAAGCTAAGAGGTGCCATGAGTAATTTGTTTAATTAAAAATCTGACATTAGACTCTTCTTGGAGCCATTTCAAAGGAAATATACAACATTATTGTACTTTACACACGAAACATCATAGGAAAGAAGTAGAGAAAAATTCTTTAATACAGTGTATATTACTAATAAATCAGTCAGTCAGTATTGAATAAAGGATGATTTTGTTGTTATTCTGATCTCTATTTACTCGTTCTCTAGCCGTCAGGATTAATAGTCTACTTTTTTCGATAAGAAAGACCGTCAGGAAACACAATTAAAGGTACATCGACAGATAACAAAAAACAATGACACAGACATCCACAACTGCTATGTGGGTATCTGTATGTTGCCGTATAGCTGTCTGTACCCCGCCAGTTCCCCAGTCAATGGTATGAGATATGTTATCAATACGTTTTGGTAGAGCCGATTTTTTTCATCTTTAGTATTTGTCAGCGTAGCCGTCAATCTCACTTAATACTTTTCAATCAGAGACATTCATTAGTTCAATCTATTCAATTCTTTTCCGATTTGCTGTTATTTTAACTGCTTGAGCTGTTCTCACCGATTGTGTTGATATGGCCGTAAAAAAATAAGCTAGCATCAGATAATGACTGAGACTGATGAGTATCCTTAGATAATCCATATTCACAGAATCGTTTACATGCTTGTCTCTTAGTTTTGCTGACATATCGTGAACCATAATCTTTACAGTTAATATCATAAATAATGTCAGAGTCTAAATGTTTCGGTATTTTATCCTTAACATTGAACGAGTTTTTACCTGATATTGATGGTTTGTCAATAACTGCAATTATGAATTGGGTTAAATTTGGCTAGCCAATTTTGCACAAGTCTGTCTTAAACGCTCTTGTACTATTCTCTACAAAAAGCACTTCGATAAATAATCTTTTTCTGCTTTTATCAGTACGCGTATCAGACTTATCATAACATTTGCTAATTTTCATTCCAATGATCGTATCAATAAAGGAGCTCGGATGACCACTGTTTGTAACTATTTTCCGAATAGTATTTAATTTCTCATCTAATTGTGAATAAGTTGAACAAATAGTTATAGTACTCATATCGGTAATGATCGAACGTTTGTAGGAGATAGCAAAATACGAGTCCTCTTACATGATGATACGTATAAAACTGTTTTTTCAGAAGATAGTTATATCTTATGTGGAATCTGTCTCACAAAAAAGCACTGAGCTTGAATGAATGTGAACGATGATGTAAATGGAAAAATGAGAGGCTTACACGAAAAACGAACTGTTTTCACAGTTAAGTGAACAATAAAGAACGCTCACCTACCTGTCTAAACTTGCTCTAAAGGATTTATGGGAGATTGAGAGTAATGATTTTATGAAAATGGATGTCCCAGAAATACTTTGGTCTGGCACTAAGATCAGAAAATTTGAACATTTTCATAAGAATTACAGTGTTGATTTTGTAGTCATTAACGATTATTTAAACTGCAAACTTATGCACACCATCAAGAAGTTTCAAGTGGACTTTTTTGTATTGTTATCATAAACAGCCGAGCAATAGTCAATACATATTTTGTAAATGCGGAAGCGAAGCGAAGTGGGAGCTGCATGGATAGTTCGGTGGATAGCACCAACACCTCCTTTGTCTACATCTCTTAGCCAGATGCTCGATATGATATTTTCAGGCCAGATTACAAGATAAATATATGCCTAATAGCTTGATGTTATTATCTAAAGTGAGGAGTTTAACATTAGGTGGCCAACGGAATTTAGTACCGACTTTGTTGCAGAAAAGGACGTGAAACTTAGCAATGTTTAGATTCATAAGATTTTTATCACATCACTCAGACATGATCTCAGAATTGTTCTGTGCATTAGTCAAATCAGAAGAATTAACCAGAGAGTTCAGGAGAAGTGCATTATTATTTCTCGTCTCATATGTAAACTCGATACTTGGATTAAAATTATTTACTAATACTAATATATTATCGATAGAGACATTCAGTGGGACTAATGTAAAGGTAGCATGCAGCATACCATTGTCAAAATTGCATTCCATATTATATAATTTGTCATGCAATGACTCTACTAAATGAGCCATGAAGAAATAGCCACAATAATTCTGGCTGAAGATCCTCCGGTACTGACTCCATCATCGTGTTCATGTATCTGATTGTAGAAATGAAGTGTGTCCCAGAGACAGTTAATTCTAACAGAGTACGAAAGCCTTTCCTGTTCTTGCATTTCTCACATGCTCTATTCTTTTTTCCTGGACTAATAGAACATTAACTTATTAAAACTTATAACTTATTCAATTTAACTTAGTTGAATGCGTAAAGGAAGTCTCCAACGCTTCAGCTTTTCTGTAACGAAAAAGCGACTGTTTTTAATCCAACCAAGTCAATCTAGTACACGACCGAGACTATAATTAAACGTTGTGATGGAAGAGAAAATTGGCCTTATAGGCCTGTTTTGGGTTTATGAACCTTACATAATCCAAATAATCTCGGAAATGGCGATGCACAAGATCTAGCCAACTTGTATATTTACCCTGGCAGTAGATACCGCACTTACACTCCTTTCTTCTTTATTTAAGTTAGTCAAATGCGTAAAGGAAGAACTTGACGGACTACGATCCAGTTTGCTAGAAAGGAAGAAGTTGGTCTCTCAGTGTGTTAAGCGCTCTATTCCAATTTATAAGTGATTTGAGGAGCTTCCAAAGTTTGACTATCATAAAAAGACTGAGGAAACATTTTTAATGTTAAGTTTATAGATATATTAATTTAGGATTATGTTTTGTTGCTGTAAGTGATTTGTATTGTATATTTTGAAGAAAAGTAGCAATTACATGTAATAAATAACAATAATTTTTAGATTAATTAATAACAATCTCCACACTATCTACAACAATTGTATCTGAATACCAATTCTATCAATAACATATTGTGGCATACAATAAACAGGATTGACTTGTTTAATGATACTCTCTGAGTAGGCGTTGATCAACACTTCATCCGTTTACACAATATTCATGTTATTTTAAAAATTATGTATCTCTGACTCTCCCTTTTTGGTTTTAATCATTTCTTTCTCTTTTGCTGTGTAGAGGAGGCATTTGCTCAGATTTAATTTACCATTTACTTCGAAAGTTCTCAAAGATATCACTGTAAATAATTACATATTGAATTCGAAGTCGTTCATTTTTATCAACTCAGTTTTGACAATTTTCGATCTAGCTTTGCCCAAACAGATAAAAGATCCCCTTCAAAATTTCGTTCATTTTTTGAAAAGCTTTCTTTATTTTTGGGCCTAACAATTTTATGCACGATATTTCATGTCTAGTAAAAGCCAATCTATATTCTTATTCTATACTAAACTTAATTCGAAGTACAACAAAACTATCAGAATGAAGAAAATGAACAACTTTTATTGTCAGAAGAAATCTGAACCAGTTCAGCTTATATCCACTTAGATTTATTTCTGAAAATACATGTACAAATACAGATAACAATGCGACTATTTGCCACCTAAATGAAAATAAATGTATAATCAATTATAAATTTAAAATCTAAAATCTTTTACTCACTTTTTAATTTTTTCACTTTATTTCTGACGTTACTTATCAATTTCGATGTGTCTAGAAAAAAATGAGGTAAAGTTTCTGATAACATGTGAGAAAATAAATCTTACCATCAATTGTTTGTTTTTGTTTTTTGTCCTTCGTATTGTCTTCATTTGGAGGAATAAAATCTTTCATACGATTTATTCTCTTTTTCTTATTCGATGTTTCAATATTTTCATTCATTTTTGCCTATAAATAATCAAACAAGTAATCTAATGAAATATCTAATGAAAAATAGTTACTTGTTCTAATTCCATTTTTTTTTTGTGTCGTTCAGCTTCTTTAGCAAAATATTCACCTGTTTCAAGTTCTTTATCAATCTGTAAAAGAAAAAAATTATCATTGAATTAGTAGTCGAAAATGTAAGAAAAAAATGAAGTACTGTAACTTACTTTAGATAAAGGTTGTGGTGGAGGAAATGGTGTATACGGTTTTTTCACTCTAACTTTATTTGGTTTATAACGTTTTGAAAGATTTTTAGATTTAAATTTTGGTAAAAATCGATCCCATGATTCATTTTTTAGTTTGGGATCTTTAGATAATTCTTGTTTTATCATTAATGTCTAAATAGAACAAACAAATCGTAATAATTAAAGAGAACTGTAAATTTATCGTATCTACTTTAATGTTATAAATTGGATGAATATTGTTCATTGTTTCTTCCACAATTTTACGTGCCTAAAATGACACTATGTTTATTTGCCACAAGTTTTTCTCATTTCTATGCTATGATTATTACCTGTCTGATACCTTGATGAGGTCCGATAGTTGTAACAGTATTACCATGAACTAATATATAACAATTTGTTAACAATTCAATTGCCTAATATAAAATAATATTACAATTTAATAAAATATAAAGAGATGAGTAAAATCTATTATTTCCTAATCAATAATTAAATAATAAAAGTTACTTTTAATGTTGAACCATTTGCTCCAATTAAACGTTGTCGTCTTTTAACAAAACGTTCTTTATTACGAACAAATGAACTTATTTTGATAATATCACAAGTAACGTCATCTTGAAGAATTCGTACACTCTTTAAATGAATAAAAATAACATAAATTTATATATATTTTCTAAAATTTAATTATTCTTACTTGTTCATATGGTACACTTCTTGATAATAATTTTATCATATCTCGTGCACGTATAATCATAAATGGATCATAAGCATCATTTGTCGTACAAACACTCATACTTCCTTCAACCAGATCAAGTTCAGCTTTTATACCCTATATAGAATAATAATTTATTTCTCTTATCATTCATATTCATTATATTTTACATACATATTTTAATAATTCTGTTTTAACTAATGGCCAACATTCTTGAAGATATTTTTCACGATATTTTGGAAAGACTGTTGCAAATGAACTTTCACGCATAAATCCTAATATAAAGAAGAAGAAAAAAAATTTTTTCGTATACTCATAAAATTAAATTTAAATATGAACCATGTGGATTATCTGCTTTTGTGAATGGTGGTTCTTTCCAACCCGGTGGAACTTCTGCAAGTACACTGGACTCTTTATCTATTTAGAAGAAAAAAGATGATTTATAAATTATAGTGTAACAATTTTTATATAAAATAAATACCTTTATCTTCTTTACTCGAATCTTCATTCATACGTTTTTTTTTCCCCATTTACTTTGAATAAAAATGTTCTAAAATAAATCAAATATCTGACATTCAAATGATTGTTGCACAGTGTTTATAATAAAAGAAATAATCAAATTTTATTATTCAAATGAATACTAGTTCTAATAGATTTATTGACAGAAAAGAAAATATAATTTCATCGATAGTAGTATTACATATATTCAAAAACGAAAAACTATTATTAAACGATTAGAAAAAACTGTTTTGTTGCCTTACCACAAAAAAAAAAGAACAAAGACATAAAATACCAGAAACTACAACAAAAAAAAACTACAAACCAAAAATTAAACATAATTTGTTTAAAAAAAAAAGTAAACTTGAGTAATGAGGAGAACGTCAACAAAATCTCTAAAATTACATAGAAGAACAACTAGACATTTATACACAATTACAAAAAAAGAAAATTATAGAGTGTATATATATATATATATAATGTTTGAATAAAATCAATTGTAAACAATTGATTGGCAATGACGAAAACTATAGAATATTAATCTTTTAATACAGTAACAAAAAAAATCTTTGAATATTGTTTTTTCAATTTCTGTCAAGCCAACGTCATTTTGTCATGAAGATAAAATGAATAAAAAAAAAAAAAAACAAAAAGAAGAAAACAAACAAAAAAATTACAAAAACGAAACAAATAAAAACAACAAAACAAAGCACCTTTAATCGCCTATTGAGCTTGTTACAATGGAATGCATATATTATAGATATTAAATATTCACAACTGAGACAAAGACCACGTGGGGTATAGATATCACATATTAATAGTCGTATTACTGTTCGCAAATATAAGAGAAGCTCAATTTATCACTTTAATCTTCATGCACTTTATCACTGTTCTCAGTTTTTGTTCGTTTCGCATAGAAAATATAAGAAAGAGAGAGAGAGAGAAAAATCGGTACGTATACAAAAAACACTATCAAAATTTTGTTGAAAGACTTTTGAAAAAAATTATAGAAAAAAAAAAACTGTCATACGGAAGCCACATCAAAAGATAGAAAGTTAGAGATCAATATGCAAAAAATGCACGTATAAAAAATTTGATCGTGAGTATCTTCAAAAGCACAGTAACACCTTTCAGCAAGAAAAGGAATGTAGAAATTTATCGTTTAGTTATCAAAAGTAGAACAACTATATTAAGAAAAAAAAAGAAAATTGCGCAACTTGTCAAAAAAGACAACTGTACTGTCATTTTGTCTGCAATAGTTGATAAATAAAAATCATCAACTATTCAAAATCTGTCTCATTGTCTGGTCGACAATATTTATTTCGTTGATTAATGTGTTGTGAATACGAACCTGTAAAACAAAACAAATACATGACTTTATAATATCCTATTATGTACAGAATTTTAATTAAATGATCAGTTTACAAAACTTTAAACAGATATATACTCAAATATTTGATGGATGAATAAAGAGGTGCTCCTGTTTATATTCACCGATTCATACTAATCACACAAATATTATAGGAGAATTTTTTTGGATAATATTAACTTCTAAGTTTAATAGATTAGCTTTTACAAACCTGAATGACTGAATCTTTTTTCACATTTATCACACTTATAAGGTTTTTCTCCTGTGTGTAACCTTTCATGTTCTTTTAAATGATGTTTATGCTTAAATTTTTTTGAACAAGTTTCACATTGATAACGACGTTTTTCATCTTCTTTGTCTATATGACTATAATGTGTTTGGGATGATGAAACACCTGGACTGACAGCATTTAAAGTTGTATGTTCACATCGACGATTTGAATTTCCGGTAAATGATACACGACGACTATTTCTAGGTTTACGATTCACTACAGGTTGTGAACTAGAAGATATTGATGATACATCAGGATCATCAGACTCTGGATCTATTTCACCCGGTATAACTGGTATGGATTCACTACTGTCTGAGATACCTATAGAAAAGAAAAATACAAAAAATAGAAGACTATGGAAGATGAGTATTCAAGTTATTGATCATTTTGCTGAATATTATTTCTATGTAAGCTTATAGCTATTTCTATGTTTATATTTTTATAAAAAAAAAATACTTCCCATGAAAACAAAAAAGACAAACCTATACACACAAAGAAGAAAAAATAAACATGCTTTGGCAAGTTAATTAGTCACCAAATGTTATTAAATCTTTCATTCAAAACACATAATCTTAGATTGAGAAATAAAAAAAAAACGAATGAGATTTGACAAAAAAAAAAAACACTAACAAATTTTTATAAAACTTAAGAAGAAAAAGATCATTTTACTCAGAGAAACAAACATGTACAAATTATACGCCAAGAGACGATAGAACTGAGGTCTGGTTGTCATGGCTCACCAAATGTTATTTGTATGGAACAAAACGGTTTCAGGAACTCCGAATTGATAAGTAATTCACATGCTGTCTACGTGTATTGAACATGAAAAATCGACTTGACATTCTCAATTTTTTTTGATAGATATAATCAAATAATGAAACGAAGTGAGAAAAGAACAGAAAATCTGAAATATCTGTTACACAATGAAACAAAAAGGAAAAATCAGAACAAGACTTGTTACAGCAGCAAGTATTAAATGAAAAACGAAAAATTGTATGTGAATGTTTATGTATGAATATATGTGTGTATAGTTAGTATAATATCTTGTCACCATTTTCACCGGTCACCATTTTCTCACTTGTGCCTGAAATTGGAGAAAGATACTTGACGGTAAAAAAAAGAAATGGCATAAATGGGGAGGAGGATATATTATGTGGTGAATGCACATGAGCATTTTTCGAAAGAACAACCTTTTTCAGTTCGGTTTTCGAAAGATGGTAAGCAAATATATTCAGACATGAAAATCTGACTACTGCTACATGCAGCCCAGTATAAAGTAATGGATGACATGCAAAAGACAATGGTACGAAACAACATTTATATATAAAAACAACAGAAATATAAAACGCGCTTTCTCCAATTTCAGGCCAGTGTTTTTAACATATATTGTATATTGTGTGTGTGTGTGTATGTGTGGTTTCGGTTAGATAAGAAAGAAGTACAGAAAACAAAAACAAAACAAAATCAACGCCTTCAGCAGCAACAAAATTAAACTTTGTTGTTTAAAAATAAACAAAACGGAATTTTCAAGACGAGAGATACACGAGAGATTATTTCTTATCGTATTTCAAGATACAATAGCAGTTATTAAAAAAATTCTAACTTTTCACCATTGCTGTGAGCTATCAGTTAAAGCGTTAGAGCTAATTTACTCAGCATAGACTTGCTTTCACACACCACAAACATCCGTAAATAAAGGTGACAGAGATTTGAATTACTACGTAGGTAAGGGATACTCATTATAATTCGGATAACGCTGTTGACATTCAATCTCTTATTACTAATTAATTTTACTAATTAATAAAATATTTTCTAGTACCAAGAAAGCTTAAGAAGATTCTACATACAAAAAAGTTTGTCTTAATTTGATATTCATCGTTTAAGCCTAATAAACACCAAATCCGAGTTTGTTCTACAGCATTAGGAATCTACACTCATACAGAAAATTGAATTAAAAATTGGGTATGTATCTGTGTGGAAAGACAATAAAAACTTGTTTATTATACAAAATCTAAACTTAAGGAAAAAACAGCACTTTCCGGTTGTGGTTGTGCATGAATGTATGTGTGCGTGTGTGTGTGTGTGTATATGTGTGAATTTTTATTCACTGGCCAAGAAATTGATGAGAGAGAGCGCATGTTTGCCTACAGTGAAGTTTATTTTATTTTCCTCTATGAAAGCAACAGCATAAAGAGAGAGGATAATTCAAGCATAGCGTTACAAAAGCAAATACGACAGCAGCAATCTAACTAATCATGCATACATGCGAAATATGCATGGAATTATTTTTTAGATGTCCATACCTTGTTGATTGTTATCATGCATTGAGTTTGACATTTTGGGCGACGTCATTTGTGAAGGAGAAGCAGCTAAAAAAATCATCAGCGTTATAATAGTTATGCAAAAGCAATCAATGAAACTTACGATCGCTTCGCTGAGAATCGGTTGATTCTTCACTTTGATTATTATCATTTTGATTGTTCAATTGTCCGACACTTTGAGTACCGTTTGATTGCTGTAAAGAACTGGATAATGGACTTGTTGGCTGTTTACCATTTGATGTGTTTGGTTGTGTTGATAAATAAGGAGATGATGTGGAAACGAGTGGTGCGGTTGTTGTATAAGGTGATGAAGTACTAGTAACAGGCACAGGCGGGGGTAGACCAGCAGGTTGCATAATATTTCCCATTGGTAGTTGCGGAGAACGAATATATTGTGAATGTTGTACTGATTGTGGCTGATGAATAGTAATTGTATTACGAGTATCGGCTGTAAATAATTGATTCGCTGTAGTCTGACGTTGTTTTAATTCAGATGCTTTTATTTGTTCTAATTGAAATTGTTGTCGATCTTGAAGTAATTGTTGACGTTGAATTTCAAGCTAAATAAACAAATAAATCTATGTAATTAGAATGTCACATTTATATATTTAAAAACACTAAAATTTTTCGATAGTTATAATTATTTTCAACAAATGAACACTAATAATATTGTGAAGAAGTGCGAGAGAGAAAAGAAAAGAACTCTTAGTTGTCTCATTAGTGATGGCAATAAAAATTGTTTATGCGCCTTTTGCATTGCAGTTGAATGCTGTTGCGAAGATATTTTTAACCAATATCATACTTTTTGATCAGCAAATGTTTTCTAGACAAATAAACAATTTACATTGTCACCACTAATGACACAACTAACAAAACGTTAAATTTTCATAACTCTCTCTCTGTCTTCTCACAGCCTTATTCTTAAAACTATACCCATAAACATAGTTAATATTAAGTTAACACAATTTTTAGATAACTAAATTATTAGCTAAGAAAAGGATCCTTCTGAACCAGTCGGAGTTTGATGGGAAATAAAAACAACATTTTAGACCACTGAAATCTCTGTAAATCTAAATACTGCTGTTCAAGGATTCAGTAAGAAAAAAATGATAAATAATATTTTAATTATACCATTTCACGTTCACGATCCATAATTGTTTCTAATTCTTCAAAATGACGTAATTTAATTTCAAGTTTCTTAATTTGCATTTCCACGACTTGAGCAACAGCACTTTTTATTTTTCGTTCTTCAATTGATGCTAAATACTAAAATAATAAATAAAACACTTTAACTATTATAAAGACATAAAAAAACGTTTCGAGTTCGCAACAAAATCGAGAAGACGACTTTATAAGTCTTTTTTAGATCACCAGGGGAGATTTTAATAGATAACAAAGACAAATGCTAATATTTTTTCTCTTCACAATTCTTGAATTTTACGTTTAAAATGTAAATCACAAATAGAGTTGATCTTTCAGTGCCTACTTTCGCTTTCACTGCCACCGCTGCTAACGCCGCAGCAGCTGCTGACTTAATTTCTTTTTCATTAATTTCAGCTGCTAATAAGGTTCGTGAATCTTGATCCTTTGTCGTTTTAGTTCCATCGTCATTATCGATATTTATTTCTGATGAAGCTGTGATTGAAGATGTATTTGCTGTTGTGACCGATTCACTTGGTCTATCGTCTGTTTCTGTTTCCATTTTTTTTATCTCGATGTCATCTGTTACTACCTGCAACGAAAAAAAACGGTGCCTTATAATCAATTTTTTTGAACAAGAAAAAAGAAGTCTACCTGATTTTCATTTTGTGACTGCGATGGATTTTCACCGTCCATTTTTTCTTCTTTTATTTTAGATTTTCTTGCAATTCCACTATCGATAGAATTATCCGTATCTTTACTTTTATCACGTTCAACATCTTCTAAACAAAAATTTATTTGCTCTGTTTAAACAACAGAAAAGAGTTAATTACCGATCGTCTCACCATTATTCGTCAGACCAAGTAGTTCAAGACTAGAATTTTCATCAATTTTTTTCCCTTTACGTATCATATTTTCCATCATCGCTTGATTTGTATCAATAAACGATGGTGAAACTTCATCTCGCATTTTACAAAATTCCTCTAGAGCAGCTTTTGCTGCAGCACTTGCTACACGTGGATCAACTACACTAGCTAAAAATGCAACTGTAGACATAACTGGATTTCCACTTTGACTAAATGGTGTTGGTTGATAAACGAGTGGACCTATCAATAAGATCAATTTTAATTTAGAAAGACAAACAGTATTCATGTTTCAATTACCTAGTGATCCATTTCCTTCCAGATATGGATCTTCAATTGGTAGTTGTAAAAATTTTAAAATACATTCATCTTGGGTACGAGTTCCAACATGTTCACATACTTTATTCCAATCATCTTTGTACATTTCCAAACCTTGAAATTTTAGAGAGAGATTTAGAAATATTTGTTGTCTTTTTTGTATTCAACTCTCTACCTTCCAATAATAATAAAATTTCTTGATCTGTCCAATCTTTTGCTCTTGTCTTTGGATTCTAAAACAAAAAAAAGATTACAAATAGAATAGATAAAAAATGCTTTGTCTCACTTACGACAGATAATTTTTTATTATATTGATCAATTCTTAAACCTAATGTACTTTCAACATCACGTTCTTCACGTTTAGCCTCTTTAAAATCTACAATCGTTTTTGAACATGAATTCTGAAAGAATAAATAAACTAAGTCAAAGAAATAAATTAAATTAAAAATAACTTTACTTCTCTTTGTGGTGGTTTTGGATGACCAATGGGTGCTAAACCACATGGTGTATCACCTAATATTGTAAAATGTGATGTGCACGGAGGACCCATTGGAGATGGTCGTAAATCAGCATCAACTTGATAATTAATTAAACCCCATTGTTCGAGAAAAGCATGTACTCTACAAAGAAATAAATAAATAAAAAATACAAATTAAATGAACTGTACAATTATAATTTAGTCAACGATTATACCTCATTATTGCACAAACATCTCCAGCTAAATTTCGACGACACGCTGTTACAGTTAAATATTCATTTGGATTTAAACGATATGTATCAATCATAAAATTTCGATAAGCCATATAACTAGAAAATTGATAAGAATAATTTAACTCAATATTCATATGTATTTTATTCACATACATTTCTGGTGTTTTTGAACGATTTGTAGCATTAAAAAATTCGAGTAAAGCACGTTTTTCTATAGCATTAATTGCATTATAATCAAACCAAGCAGAATAACTTGGTATTATTATATGATGTGTTTGTTCACATGCTTCGGGATCAGTTTTCTTTTGTAATGATGATCCATCTTGCAATTGATCATCTATTCCCTAAAATATGAACAAAAAGTGAATATTATCAAAAAACGAAAGAAAAAAAAATGCTTCTCTATTTACCATATAATCATCTGCTTCTTCATTCAAATCGGTGAGCATTAGATTCTTTTGCATTTGAATATCTTCCCGCTTCTGATTCAGTGATGCTAAAAAATATAATTCAATGCAAAAAAATATATACGCAACGTTCTACAATGCAATTACGTATTTTTGATAACGTTTGATCGTCAAAATTTGACTGCGATAATGAATTTTCGCCATCTTTAGATAAATCTGTATCATCCATATCCATACCACTTCCTCTCATTTTTTTTGTAGTTCTAAGACAAAAAAATTTATTTTTACTCAAAAAATCTGTATAATCAATCAATACTAATTTTGTTATATACTTTCGTGATTTATTTGATCCTTGAGTTGATCGTTTTTTTATCGTTGATGCAGCATTTGTTGTAGTGGCACCTAATAACGATGATGAATTTGATGTATTTATTGCCATATTTGGCTTATCTTTTCGTTCTGGTATCAGCTAAAACAAAGAATTTTGTTACTGTTGTAGAAGCAAAACTATTCATTAAAACAAGAGTTCCTTTTCTTTTACTAGCTAAATAAATAGATCAGTTCCAGTTGCGTATAAATCATATTCTGATGTATCGAACAACGTATAGGAAGCTTATAGTTTGATGATTATGATAATGGTTTGTTAACTTCTGCTCACTAATACGCTTGTATGATTATTATTATTATTATTATTATTATTATATGTAAAAAAACAAAAGATGAAATACTCAACAGCAAAAACGATTTTTTTTAATTCTGTCAATACGTTGTATATGTGATACCTCAGACATAGAGGAAAGTGAGAATAAGGAAATCGTATTCGTTTTTTTTTACAGTCAATTCTTAACGGAAGAGGAAACGAAAAAAAGTTCATTTTTTTCTTCTTTTCTGTGTTCCTTCATTGCGACAATCCTACTAGCACAGATAGTTTCTCTTATATGGGTGAGTATGGTGAAGAATGAACACATAGAATGGAAAAAAGTTTTTCTTTTTCAAGACAATATCGATTATATGTACATTCGATATTTGAGATCTATACACATCTCAGCTCTTTACGTTACGCACTGTGGGTGATACTAATGACGTATCAAAGTATCCAAGCAATTCTTAAACATCGTTTATTCGAAATAGATTACCGTGTGTAACACCTCATTGTGTAAAAGAAGAAGTCGCAAAAAATATTTATACGACTATTTTACTCTATACTTACCTAAATATAACATCAACTGTACCACACAAAAGCTATTCAGATAAAATTTACGTAAACTTACTTCAGTCAGTGTCTTCCGTTCTTTACCACAATTTTTTAATTTGATCCGTCCTTCTCGTGCCTGTATATTAATAAACTATATGGTTATGTTCAAACATCAGAAAAAGAATTGAATATTACCATATCTTCATCAATTTCATAATCTTCTTCAGTCATCCATTCATTGAATTCCGCTGTGTCTAATATCCAATTAGCAGTAACATGCCATATTCCTTGAAATGTTTCATCTCGCTTTTCTGACTCTTCAGCATCCAAATTTGGTGCCCATATATCGTATGAATCCGGATAAAACCAATAATGTAAACGGCAATCTCGACCACGTTTTTCAACAACACGTACATATTCATCTAAAACCATAAAACTGAAAAAAAGGAAAAATAAAATATAAAAACAAACATACTCTCTCTTTCACTATCAATATCACGTTTTTCATCTAGCGGAGGATAAACAATATGATCAGCATCATCTTCATTAGATGCTACTTTTCCATTATGTTTTTCAATCATCTGTTTCAATTGTATTTGTAATTTTTTATCAATTTCTGGACGTAAATAACAAATGGGTAATGTCAACACATTTTTATCAATTAATAGTTTTTGGACATGCTGAAATAATTTTATAGTCTCATGACTTGAATGTGATGCTAAATCAAGTTTTTTCCTATGAAAAAGCAAACAATAAAAATGAGACTATAAATAATAGAAAAATTATTACTCAATTTACATACCAGTTGTGAGTAGATTTATACATATAACATCCGAGGATAATGTGATATAGAGCTCCAGTTTCACGAAAATCAAGAAAACATTCCATCTAAGCAAAGTAGCAGAATTAAGAACCGTGAAGATGATTAAAACTGTTTTTAACATACTGGAATTCTAGTTAGCTGTGCATCATGAGTATTTCTCCCCAGGTTTTCCTCTTGAAATTGCAATACTTGTAACACAAATTGTGCCAAACTCTCCTTGGTTAATTGTTCATCCCCGAAGTACTGATAAAAATAATAGAAAATATAAAATAAGATTCAGCAACTACCAAAGTCATAGACAAACCTTTTTTAAATCCTTTTTCTGGAACCATTTTCGGATTGTATCAAACTGAGCCAGAGTATCTGGTGATTCAAAAAACTTTACATTTGGATTACCATCTTTTTTTCGTATTGTAATGCTCATTATTCAACTGATATCAGCACTACTGTGCAGATAATAGTACTTTCTAAAATCCAAATGAATACTTCCGATACGGTGTACAGTCAACAGTCCTTATATCAAAACTCTAAAAACTAGAAAAGTACATCGTTTTGTATGTGACAATAAAACAGCCATGAATTGCAAGAGATTAAACAGTCATGAACATGCATTATCTGTGTTTTTAGGTAATTCAGAAAATCCATATTCAGGCCAACAAGAACTTTACTGTGCTTTTTGTTGAAGTGGCAGTAACAAACAATTGTTATAGAATTGTTAAGTTACGATTACGATATTTATTATTCTATATTATAGAAGGCGCTACAATTATAATTATTTCAAAAATCGTAACTTAAAAGAATCAAAACAGGAAATGAAATCTTATCCGTATTTCCAGTTTCAAAGTATACTGAGACTTTTAGATTGAAGATACACTGTACTTTAAACTCTGTAAAAAAAGTATATTGTATTGTGTAAACTTGAAAAGTCGCATTTACACTTTGGTTTTTAATAGAATTTTTTCCAATCTGAATGAAAAACAATCTTAACTTACAGAAATTCTTTCTCACATTCTAGAAAACGACTGATAGTATAACATTTCCCGAGGTCAATACGTGACAACTGTTAGTTTCCCTTGGATAGTTCGACTGTACTTGTTTGTCGAGAAAATTAGACGAAAACATAGTTTCTTTCTTTCTCATATTTCATGCGCAGGCATTTTTATAACTCACACATTTAGAAAATAAAATCTAATCTCGTACACTGCGTTTGGAAAAACAAAATGTATGTTTACATGATGCTACTAAATCTCATTAGAAACACTGAATCACATTTTGTTTTCAAATTCGAAAAGTTTACCCAACGAATTTGTTCCTAAAAAATGAAAACGTGAAAAAATAATGTGATCAGATATTACTATGCATATCATTAGGATGCAAAACTGTAAACTGAGCAGACGACTACCGTCTCGTTCTTGACCTTAAAACCATCTCCAAGTTTTTATGCAAGGAGAGGGAGCGAGCAAAAGTTTCCTGACTGGAAGTAAGTGTTTAGAAAAAATAATGTCTGCTCGTGTGTGTGGCTGTCCTTGTTTTTTGTTTGATCAGTTAATCAACCAATAGAAATATAGAAATAGTGATGTCGCTCGTTGACAGAAAGAAAAGATTTGCTTACACATGAAAGAAGTTTAACTTTTGCCTAATAGGCAAGAGAATAAATTAATGTGATATATTTGCAGCATGCAACTTCAGATGGAGAATGCAATGGTGCTATGAGAAAATCTGTGCGAGGTCTTCAGAAACCTTTTAGATTTCTAATGGTTTTTGATGTCATGTGGGATGAAGGATGAAGATGGTTTTCAGTAATGCGGATCATAGCTACTTAACATTCCGTGACTGGTCAAAGATAAGTAGAGGGAGTAGATAAATCTGATGTAGTCTGGATACTTTTAGGAACAATGTAATGCACAACGTAATATAAAGCTAAAACATTTTCTGGACACCCGCTGAAGATCCGAAGGGAGGCTGCAAGTATTTCTGATCAATTCGCCATGACAGACCATCTGTATTCTGTAAGTTTTATAATGCGCAGATGACTTTTTTTGTGTTATCAAAATGGACTGATTTCCGGCGACGTCTGTTTCGCAACTTCAGAAATGTTTGCTTACTTTGTTTCCTCTGTATCAGTAATTATTTTTTCACTCATCTCTTTGAATATTTTCTCTGTTGTGCAAAAAATAATTTTGTACTTTTCTCTCTTGTCATTCGCTTATCCATAGAATACAATATCTGCCAGACATTTCTCCGTATTTTGCGCACACACAGCAGACACACAGACAAACAACCTAACCATTTTGTAAGACTCTAGACTAAAGTCAAGGGAAAATGACGTGAAGCCTTACGAAATAGAATAAATAAATTACAATAATGAACTGACAACAGGCTGTGGGCAAGACAAACTGTAACATATAAGTGTTTCAGAAGTGAGAGAACTGAAAAACGGAACAAGTAAAAATATTTATTGAGAGAGCATGGGAAGGCCGGGAAAAAAATTTTGAGGGGAATAATAAACTTTTTACAGTAGTACATACATAAAAATGCTTCCCAGGTAAACTTACACGCTTTAAACTTGCCATGGTCACGCTAGATTTGCCCCAGGCAGGACACGTTATGTGGCCGTGGGTGTGCCATGTGTGTGGCAAAGCCACGCCGTGACTTGCAAAAAGTCTTGTCCGCTCGCAATACCATGTAGTCTGTTTTTCTGGCTGATTTTTACGTCGTTATTCAAGGGGTTATTTCTGATTCCTTACAAAACTATGGTTTTTGTATAAACCTCATGGTTTTTCTGCAAATTTTCAAAGGAAAGCAGAAAAAAATTGAAGAAGGTAGCTAGTCAAGAAAATTGTGTCTAATCGATCTGTAACTTTGAGCAAGCACTACTTATTTTCTAGACTTGATTTCACCATACCAACTTGTACTTTTCTTGGAGACATGATGCCAATTTTCGTATTAAGCAGTTACGCTTCGTGAGCAAAAAATATTCTGTTATGGCACGAATAAGCTAAGGTTTTCCTGTTCCACCTTGACCCGGTACACACTTCAATAATTGGTCTTGTTTATCACCTGTTGAAAATAGTAAAATTGATACCTTAGTATGTAATGTCTACTATTTGCTTGTGTGTGTATTTTTCAAATAGAAGAGTGCCACGAGCTTGCGATTGTCTCATTTTGCGACGAAAAGTATGCTTAACATGATGAATTGCGTCAGAGTTTTCCAGATTCTTGATTATAGAGATATATCACCAGAGACGGAGATACACATTGTTCAAGAGTAGTGCTGAATATCTTTGCAATATCTCCATAATCAAGAATCTAGAAAACTCTGACACAATTCATTATATTAAGCATACTTTTCGTCACAAAATGAGACAATCGCAGGCTCCTGGCACTCTTCTATTTGAAAAATATACACACAACCAAATAGTAAAAAAAGCATCAGACGTTTTCAGGCGAGTTACGTGGAATGGCCGCCATACAATACTCCTTCAGACTGTAAATTGTATTTAAGTATACGAAACAGAATTCTCAGTTTTATCAAACACTTTTATATGGTTCATGTTTACAAGCAGATATTTCAGAAATCGACCTAATTTCTGTACATGAAAACGGTCTTCATATATCAGAACCAAAGTGACGTTAAATTAGATAAACTACGAGCCACTGCACCGAAGACTTTAAACAGCAACAAAAACCAAATATTATTATTTTATTCTTCGTCACCAAATAATAATACATTACACATTTTTGTTTATTATTTGATGCTTGAGAGCTTTCGCTCTGCTGCTTTCTTTTTTAATGAAAATAACGATTAGCAGAGGATCTTTTCACACATAATTTGGAAGTTGCTAAGGAAGATTCTACCAGCATCCGTCTACCAACAATCGTAGAAACAGGTTTCAAAACGAAACAATTCTATTTCTTTTCATCTGGTCGTTATGAAATTTTTGAATAAAATAAGCGCATTTCAACGACTATTAGTACCGTTTGCAAACGCGTTTAAATGGCTCTTTTACCGATCATTATCTAACACATCCAGTAAAAACACGTTTTTTATGCTGTTTTTAATGATTTTTTCTTATCTGAGTGGCGCAATGTATCGAAGTGACTTGATATCTTACAAAATGCCGTGCAAAAGTGTTAGATTCGGAGGGGAAAAATTTTAAAATAGAATGTTCAGTCAGCACAGTTTTTCACTTGCATTATAATTGTTGGACAGCGAACAGAGATATGGCAGACACTTTTCCCTTTCTAATCTTATCAAACAAGAGGCATACAAGTATTGGGAAAGAAATTTAGTTTATCTCAAAAAAACGACCACTACACGATACAAACGTCATGAATAGAAAAAATTTTGTATCCTTGTGTCTCGTATATCTTTCCGTATATCATAGCTGAGGATGATCTATCTTTAATAAGTCGAAAAGCCCGGAACATGAAAGATTCATATTGTTGATCTCATATTTTTACATCAATGTATAGAGGACGTTTTTTTACACATACCTCAGTAACGATAGCAAAGTGTTCAAGAAAGGAAACCAGATCCAAAAATCATAATTTGCATCGAAAATTCTTTAAAACATCCAATCAGTTGCGTTTCTCCAACGCAGCAGAGGGATGTTTTATCAATATTATTAGGGTACCATTTAGATCCACCATTTATACAAACATTAAAGTCTAAAAAATGTCGATGCTCTATTCGTGTAGGGCATAGAAAATTACAAAAACGTGTTGTGGTCGTTTTTTTGAGATAAATTAATAATATTTGGTTTTTGTTGCTATTTAAAGTCTTCAGTGCAGTTGCTCGTAGTTCATCTAATTTAGCGTCACTCTGGTTCTTCCAAATTATGTGTGGAAAGATCCTCTGCTAATCCGCTGTTTATTATGCACTTAAAAAGTAGTAAAGTACAACGAAAATATTGCTGCATGTTATGAAAAGATAGAATAGTAACTGATAGATCATAACATAGTTAGTTGGTAAAAGAAAAAGAGAAATAGATTCAAAGAATACATCATGTCATCGAGGTGATACTCTATGAAAAAAAGAATTTCCGGTACTGGTGTACATCAGCGCCTATAAAATAAGGTATACTTGTAATATTTCAAATGCCTTTTTAATGTCATCTTTCCCTTCTAATAAGAGAAGTGATGCAATGTTGCATAGTTTTGGCATGGTAAATATGGTACTGATAACCATCAATGCCACGCATTTCAATTAATATAAAATTAAGTAAAATCAACTATAATAAAGATGAATTCGGATTATGCTGTTAGTGAAATATTGTCCCTAAATAACAAATAAAACAAGATATAGTAAATTATCACATGTTTAAAATAGAATAACGTTTATCCGACATAACAGAAAAAAGTACAAAACAATAGGCTTAATTCTTATGGTAGTTAAGCGTGCACTCCAATTCTAAATTTAATTCAGCAGAGGATAATTAGTGTGTGTCATAGTGATTTCATTGGTCCTTCTAAATCATAATGAGCATTGCACTTCTTCTCTTTCACAGTGATAGAACTTTTTTCTGTTCTAATCAAATTGTTTAGATGAGTGTATTAATGATACGGACATTTCAGCCGTTGCTGAAAGGTGTCCAGTATCAGTCTTCTAGTCAACTTAAAACGTTCAAAATAATTCAATATTTCTCAAATGTTTGTTATCGTCACAATCATGTAAATATTTTTTGTCAATCCTGTTTGAATATGTTGTCATTATTTAATGTCTTATAGACTTATCTATCAAAATTTCGAAAATCAATAATATCAATAAATAAAACTTACATTAACGTCATCAAGGTATGTATAAACTGTCTAATAATTAGAAAAAGAATTTCATGAAGTTAATCGCTTATCCATAGCAAAGTGTAACAAGTTTCCGTTGATGGACTGTTCATTTTTTAGTTTCAGCAGCAGTTGCTAAACGTTAATGAAAAACGTTTTCCTTATTTCAGCGTAAATGGCATGCAGGTCATGCTGGTTCATTCACCGAAGATCTCGGTATAAAAGATAAACCGATATCGACAGGTTACGTACTCCGTGCTATGTTCGAATTTATCTGGCCAAAAAATGGAAAACAAGTTAAAATTCGTGTTTTAATCGCTCTATCACTACTATTATTGTCTAAAGTAAGTCGAATAAATGTATTTAACAAGCGATAATCATTATTCTTTTAATCTTTAGTTATTGAATATCAGTGTACCATTTATGTTCAAATATTTGATTGATGAATTAAACAAAGGTCACACATTAAAAGTTGATACAACTGAATCGGCAATACTATCAATGGTAACTGCACTGCTTATTGGCTGTAAGATTTTTTTGATTCTCGTTATTTGTCAATATGTCATCATTATTTATTAATTATATTTAATTTTTTTGTTTTGTTTTAAAGATGGTGCTGCTCGCGCTGGTGCTGCCTTATTCGGTGAATTACGGAATGCCATCTTTGCGAATGTAGCTCATCGAAGTATACGTGAATTAGCTAAAAGAGTGTTTTCTCATATACATAAGTTGGATTTAAGTTTCCATCTTGGCAGACAAACTGGTGCACTATCAAAAGCAATTGATCGTGGAACAAAGTAAGACATTCTATTTACACACTATTAATTATTATTGTTTTTTTTTATCTTCTCTAGAGGAATTAGTTTCATATTATCTGCACTTGTCTTTAACATTGTACCCACGATATTTGAAGTTGGTCTTGTTAGTGGAGTACTTGTAAGTGATCTTCTTGATGTTGATAATGTATTTGGGTCAATATTTATTTATTTTAGTGGTATAAATTCGGATTATCTTATGCTGCAGTCGCCATTGGATGCATTACAGGTTACACAGCTTATACTTTCGCTGTAACTCAATGGAGGTAAGCGAAGGATCTTGAATTTCATTAATCGTATGTACATAATACATATATAGATAATATTGTAATCGTGCTTAGCATGATAGAATTTTATAATTATGTCATATGTATTAGGGTATAAACAGACTTTGTCGTCTTTCATCTTTTTTTTGGTTTTCTTATTTGTATCTAGAACGAAATTTCGTGTTAATATGAATAAAGCTGATAATGAAGCGGGCAACAAAGCGATTGATTCATTAATCAACTTTGAAACAGTGAAGGTAAAATGCGACATATTATCATTACTTTCGAAACTTACTTTAATCAACATAACGTAATCTATTCTAGTATTTTAATAATGAAGAACACGAAATAGAAAGATATGGTAAAGTATTATCACAATACGAGATAGCATCAATTAAAACTCAAACCAGTTTAGCAATGTTAAATTTTGGACAAAATGCTATATTTAGTTTGGGTCTTACTGGTATCATGCTTTTAGCTGCGAGTGGTATTACAGACGGTAAATACAAAACACTTCCATTGTAACAGGCTTCTGATCAATCTATTTATAACTTTCAGGAAGTATGACTGTTGGTGATTTAGTTGCTGTAAACGGTCTCATATTTCAATTGTCAATGCCGCTAACGTTTTTGGGCTCCGTTTATCGTGAAGTAAAACAGTCTGTTACCGATATGGAAACCATGTTTCGGTTAACGATGATCAAATCGGCAGTGAAAGTATATCATTTTATCTTCTTTTATTCTTGGATTTTTTGCGAATAGTTTAATATATATATATATATATATATATATAGGATAAAGAAAACGCTCCTCCGTTTCAAATTAGTCATACTGCATCATCGATTGTATTCGACAATGTTACATTTGGTTACTTAAAAGAACAAAAGATTTTAGATAAACTTACCTTTGAAGTTCCTTCAGGAAAGAAAGTAGCAATCGTGGGTGGTTCTGGTTCTGGGTAAGCATACTATAACATATTTTGATCAACAACTGTTCTATCTATTTTCCAATATAGAAAATCGACTATCATTCGTTTATTATATCGTTTTTATGATCCTCAAGATGGTGAAATACGTATAAATAATGAAAATATTCAACATGTCTCGTTATCTAGTTTAAGAAAAGCGATTGGTATTGTACCTCAAGTATGTCATGAGCACTTATTTTAATTTAATTAGAATACATCAATTAAGTTAATTTTTGTTTTTTGTTAGGATACTGTTCTTTTTCACGATACAATACTATACAATATTAATTACGGTAATTTAAAAGCAACAAAAGAACAAGTCTATGAAGCTGCTAAATTAGCTGAAGTACATAACGCTATAATGAGAATGCCCAAACAATATGATACAATGGTTGGTGAAAGAGGATTAAAATTATCAGGTATTTCTTTTTCGGATACATTTGTTTTTATTTTCGTTGCCAAAATACTAAATGTTCTTTAGGGGGTGAAAAACAGCGAATTGCAATAGCACGCGCATTGCTTAAAGATCCAATTGTTTTAGTTTATGATGAAGCTACCGCACATCTTGACACTGTAACTGAACAGGTTTGATCAATGTTTTGTCTTCTCTTACTGTTATCATTCATCGTACTTTTCTTTGGTTCTTTAATAGGCTATTTTAAAATCATTACGTACATTAACTAAAAATCGTACATCTATTGTTATTGCTCATCGTCTCAGTACCGTTATTGATTGTGATCATATTGTAATTTTGGAAAAAGGAAAAGTACTTGAACAGGGTAGTCATGCAGAATTAATGGCAAACGACAAAGGTTATTATACATCGCTATGGAACAGTCAACAAAATAGTACCGTTTTGAATGATAAAAACGACAATATATAAGCAAAAGTTGTAATAATAAATGATGATTCCACAACTGAATGATATTTTCTACTGAATTATTTTTCTAGCCTTTTTTCTCATGAAAAAATGTGAAAGATCACTCTAAATGACATTATAGTACATTTTAGCTTATCTCTTGTCTCTCGTGATTCATAATACATACTGTGTAAGTCAAAATATTTTATTTTCTTAGCTATTCTGTTTTTTTTATGTATAGTTAAGAAACAGTGAAATATGACGTTTTGAACATAAATTAAATTTCTTAAATATACGTGCATCTGTGTTGTGAAAAAATAACTCTTGGTGATTCGATTATAAGCCATTTTTCTGACATATTTGAAAAACGTTTTTATGGGTTTTTTTTATAATGAAGAAGAAAACATATTGTTTTTATACTTTTTAGTAGATATGAAATGAATTTATACTGTTCAAATGGACTTCTCAAAACCGACATTGACGATATCTGAAGAGGCATCTGTTATTTGATAGATTTTTAGTGTATTGAAATTTTTTTGTATAGTTGCGTTGTCTTGTAATTTGAGCACCTATTTCACAAAGGCACATGCCCCTAGTAGATTTTGAGAAGCTCTTATTTTCGGATAAATAAGTAAAGAATGCATTGAATATAAATGCTTTTGTTTTGTCTACTTTTTCCTAGTTTTTGATTGCTGCTGATGATTTTCCCTTACCGGCTGAAACCATTCGTCCTTTGAGAAAATAGCAAATTGATCAAAAAGAAATTCAGACCAACAATCGTCAAAAAAAAAAACAGTATAATATAAATATTTGGTATAAAGGGATTATTCTCATGTATTTATTTTGTGTATTAATTTATTCAACAGATTAAGTCAATTTTGCTATGATAAACAAAATTTTACCTACTAATGCTATAACTGACTATCTGCATTTTCTAATTAAAACTTAGTTTAATATATTAACTTTTGCAAACTGTTGTCGTATATAAAAATTTTGATATTGTTTTTTAAAACAACTTTGTAGATATATAGATATATAACTCGAATAAACTGCTCTTTAAGATTGTATTTGAACTGTTCAATTTTTTAATAAAACAAATGCAAAATATCTTCTATGAATCGGTAACTTAATGAAAGTGTATCTGACAAATCCGGTCATTTTGATGCTGTACAAATTACAAAACGAAAACATTAAATAAAGAGTACAAATATTCTACAAAACATTTCTCTTCTTTTCTTGTGAATTTATAAATGCTGTTTATTTTAAACATAAACATTTAAATAAAAAGAAAATATTAAATAATATACTTAGTATGAAAAACTGTACCGAAATTTTCGAATCGTTTTAAAACGTGATATAATTTAAAAAAAATTGAAAGAGAAATATGTCGACACATTATTTCACTATGTTTCCGTAATATTTCACGACTTGAAGCAGACCGCAGTATTTGATTCCGCCTGTGTCTACCGATATTTATCTTGGATCTGATCTGACTAATTGCCGTTTTTTCAAGTCTACTAGACTGACAAGTTGTGGCCTGACTTGTTTCGGGCTCTAGTGTAAGCTGCTTATATGAATTACACATATCAATAAGACAATAGAGGATATAAATAAATAGTACTGAATTAAAAAAAAAAGGTATAACTGGAACAAAAACAATATTCACACTTTTCCTGATCTCATGAAAAAATAAAATTTAAAATTCGACTTGATTTAATATTAAATAGTTTGAAAATTGAATGTTTTTATTTGTTGTGAGTTATTAACTCATACATTTTAAAAATTTATTATCGTACATGGAATAAAAAGTTATTTACTCATGCTTTGTTATGAGTGCATCATAAAAAATATTAGCTTCATTTGAGTGATATAACAAGTATACAATCAGTGAAGCGTATAGGCACAAAAGGAAACAATTGCGCAGGCATTTTCTTTCTCGAAACCTCTTGTAAAATCCTGAACGTTATTGAGAAGGGATTTATTTTAACGAAACAATTTAAGAACTACACAAATAATAGTTAATCGTTCTTGAATCGAATATTTTTCCACAGTAAGTATAGTGGAGATAATAGTCAATATTTTGTAGTAACAACAAATTGTGTCCCTGATGAACAGTTAATTGCTAATGATTGTTAAAAAAACTATTATACATGGATATCTTAAAGGTTTAGTCATTATAAATTCTATACATTCATCGATTATTTTTTTATCCTTGTTTATATCTCAATATTAACCATTTTTGTTTCCTAGAATTTTCAAATAGATGATTATATATTGCTAATAGACTTTTGCATATTATAGAACGATGTCGTATCCTATTCAACAACATTTTGGTATAAATAATCTTGATGATGCTCTGTTCGGTGGCGGAACGGGCTCAGGAAATCCAATTGGAGATGTCATGAGTATGGCACACAATATGATGAACAGTTTTCAAATGAATAGTGGGATGCATATGAATAGTGATCCGAATAATCCAAATGTAAAGGTTTTTGGTGTTAGTTCAATGAATGTTACTCAATTAGCACGAGGACCAGATGGACGACCTCATGTTATACAAGCACATGATGAAAAACGTATGGGTCCTAATGGAATATGGCAAACAAAAAAAGCTTTAAAAGATAGTGATCGTGGAATAGACAAAATGCAAGTTGGCTATTTTGTTGGTGATCAAGGAGAAATTGTGGAAAGACATTATGATCCAGCAACAGGTCAATATCGACAAAATGTTCAACACCGTGGCTATACTCAACCAAATTTTCGACAACAATGGCAACAACAAGCTCAACAAGCAGTGCGAGGACCACCACAGTCACAACAGCACCAATATCTTCCACAGGGTAGTCACCAACAACAAAGTTTACCAGCTCCATCACCATACCAATATCAGTATTGAATTAATCACTTGAAACTTAGGGAATAGACAAAATGATGTATGTTATTTATCTTCATTTTACAAAACTATAATAAAATTCTTATTTTGACAGATTAATATATGTTTGAGATATTTGTGTTCTTTTTTTTGTCTAGTAATCAAATATGCTCTATAAATAGTACACATTGGTGTATTTTCATGATCCATTATAGATACAGTCTCAGTCTAATTGTCCAAAAACTAGTTTGAGTTTTTTTTCTCATCGTAGTTAAATTATCTTGTATCTTTTATCGAGAATGTTTTACTCATAGGCAGAAAAACTTTCTTTCACAAAACTTTCTTTAATCAGGAATCTAATGTTTTTCGTCATACATTTTCTCAAATAAAAAGCATAAAATACATGTCGATTTTTCTCATATCATACTTTCGCAAACAAATGTCGAACCGCAACAATACGATAACCAAACATTTCATTTCCTACGACATAAACCATCTGTTAGTCATTCAGTTAAATTTATTTTTGGCCAGTCTTGACATTCTTAAAGTTTTACTGTGCATTAGACTTATCTGAGAAAAAAAATATAGAAAAACTTCGATATTTACATAATAATATTATATTTGTCCTATTAGTGGGTAGTTTTTGAAGACACAATTACCAATTTAAGTTTAACATGTTGCCAATATTTCGTTTTATCGCCATGCTGATTTATCCATATAAAACTAAATTTAGCCATACACAATTCTCATGTAATATAGCATGTTTTCGGTATATGATAGAATAATTTTCATACTTCATATTCTAATTACTATTTTAACATCAATATTTCTAACAGGTTTTATTCCCATGCACTGTAAATTTGAGTGTTACATCAAAAATAACACATGAATCGGATATTTATGAGGTGAAAAATAAAACCAAAATGATATCACAGTTGTCGACAATATCTCGATATGCTGTTAAATTAGTCATTATTTTGTATTTAGAATTGTGCTCTGTTGAATTTTGTTGTATAGCTACATCGTATTGATTTACTATTTGTCATTAAGCTTTTATCACAATGTGTGTGTTCGAGTTATCCGTCAAAATCAATTTCAAAGTTTAAATGGTTGTGACGAACTTTTTCTCATACAACCGATAGATTTTATCATCAAAAAGGGATGATTAACGCTAATACAAATTCTATTTGAACTATAAATAAAACAAAACAATATCAACTAATTATTGACTATAGGCTGAAATATTGTAAAAAAATGGAATTGAAAAAGGTTTTATTTCTGATTTATTTATGACTAATAAAAATCGGTACAATTAATGAAACTAGCAAATACACCGGAGAAACATTAAAAAGAGAACGTAATTAGGTTGAATAGAGAATGTATGAAAGAATAAGACGAGGTTAATACTTGTAGGCTATACAGAGACTACGTGAAAGACTTGGCATTATAATAGAACTAAAACTGTACTAAAACCTTTAGAAATATATCTGTGTCTAACGTGTACACATCATTTCGAAGAAATGACAAGAAGACCGTGGTGTTTTTCTGAGAATTTCTCATGGGACGAATATATTAAAGCAAAATGTGTTTTTAATTTTGTAACTAATAGCTTTCCAACTATTGATAAAGGAGATGAATTTCATGGAAATGATTACAAGATATCAATAAAAGCCGTATTTTACGTTGGTACTCCCATAGTTATGTTATTCCATCCTCATATCCTAGTAGATGTCAATATATAGCTTTAACTACACACACAATCATGTCATGACAAGTATTCGACAAATGACGATTGTTTGTATCTATTATGTTATACAAAATCCATCGGAATTTAGAACATTTCAGCAACAAAATGGAATAGGCCTAAAGAGGCACATTCAGCATTAAATAAATAATTTTTGTCTATAAAATCAAAAGTTGATTTCAATGCTTGAACGTACAAGTGGTAATATGGGTGGAAAACGTGTTAACCTCTTATTATCCTATCCTGCATACTCTACTGTATTCAACCTGAACAAAATCTCGTTCTTCAAAAAATTAGAAAGGATAGAAATAGATTTGATCCCAAAAAATAAAAGAAGTGATCCTGTTTGATTTGTTCTACAGGTTTGATCCCGAAAAACCAGAGCTGGTTCTAGCGAGGGGCAGGGGTCGTGCGGTAAACCCTCCTCCCCCCCCCTG